AGTTAAAATGTAAACTAACTGTTCAATAAACACTTATCGCGTGATAAAATAGTGATCAGAAAGTATCTCTCCAAGTTAGGGCATATACATATATGAGGGTATTTTGATATTTTTCATGGCTACAGTGATGCAACATTGTAGTGGCCCGGGGGCTTCGATACGAACATGTCAAATTGAAACTTTTAATCTATGAAAAGTGTTTGACATATTTGATGAAATGAAGCAATGTGAAGATTTCTGCTTTCTTCAAAATGCAGCCAAAACAGACATGAAGAAAAGCCTTTTCTTAGGTTGACGTATCTGCACCTTTCGCAGGAGTGATGATATGCTTTGCCATCTTCACCATCTAATAATTCACATGCATATGACTCACCAAGATTTTGATCTATGGTATTATTTGTTGTTATGGTCCACAGGCTTGCCAGTGCCTCTCCAATCCATGTAGTCATTTGAAGTTTTACAATTGGCTCCATGCAACCCAATAAGCCAATTTGTATTCCACTTAGTACCATATATACTACAACCATTGTATCCATAGAATATAATCCTCTAAAAAATCAGGTTAGTCTACGGTATATATTCTTAAGAAAGAAAATGGTATTGGTACTCTTTAGTCGGACAATGTTTATGTAACTTCTTATTACAGTAATAATAATGTCCTCATGTGGTGTGGTCGTGCTTCGGTGATAATAATGTTTTTGTAAAATCAGGTTGCAATAATGTAGTTTTGTTGTCTCGCCTAGTGAGTGTTGTGGTCGTGCTTTGGTGATGGCTAGATGTGGTTTTTGCTTTTGAGCGTCGGGATTTGTGGTCTCGTCTTCTAACGATGACTTTACGTGGTTTAACTCTTCTACGATGACTTTATGTAGCCTCGCTATTCAACGATGACTGGTGTGGTCGCCGATACGAATTTGTTGCGTATCGATTTTTGTGACAATTTTGTATTAGGTAACATTTGTAGTTTCGTGCATGTAGTAGCTGTATGGGGTCTTACTAGTTATTTGTTTGTGCAAATTCACTCCAAATTAATTTATTTAAGTACTCTATCCAATGAACTCAATTATCACCTTTGTATTGGTTTGTGTTGATCAATAAAATACTAGCCCCATGATCCGCTGTCTTGTCAGCAAATAGTATAGGATCTTCTTTCTGCTTCTTCTGAAGTAGTTAATTAACTTTGTAGTTTTGTTATGATTTTTCTGTCTTTCATCACATGAATAGATGATTGCTGAATAATTAAATTAATTAATGGCTGGCTAGTTGATCAAATGAAATTAATACACACACACATATATATCTCCCGCATTATCATTACTGGGTGACAATCATGACAATCTGATGAAATATAAATAAATTTAAAATCTAAAGCATATTGTACAAGACTATTTTGGTTACGGATGATTTGTCTAAAACACATTTTGGGGCGGCTGCTTGTGGTGGCATTTTTAGGATCGTCACGGTCGATTTCTTACTAGTTTTTGATAGGGTATTGACTATTCTAATTTTTTCTTTGCACAATTTTATGTAATTATTATTGGTGTTCAATTTGGTTATTATAGGATTTGACATTATCTTAAGTTGAAAAATGACCATTCTAGTGTTATTTTCATTCTCCATTCGAATGATTTTGATCTTTCTTGGGTTCTTCGCACACAATGGTTTACTTGTTTGGCCCGCATTTGCGAGATGATTTTTTTATTCTCACATCTTTTGAGAGGGGAATGTCATTGTGGATAGCTTTGCCAATAGGCATGTCTTCTCCTAATTTGGTTTGGCATGATTCTCCTCCGTTGATAGATCGTGGTGCTTTGTTTTTAGATTTTGCTTACTTGCCTAGCTTCCACTTCACAAATTACTGCATATCCTGAAATGATGTATTATTATTTATTTGCAAGTTTTGATTTCGTCCCCCGCTTGTATATTTAATTTTTCTCTCTTTTTGTATTTAAAATTACGGAATAGGGGACATAGGTGTCATTCTATTTGGGAGTCAGCCATTTCTAATTAATTTAAATTGAAAAAAAAAAGTAACTTACTTTGTAGTTGATGGTTAAATCTTGGAGTCTTGGACCGTCTAAGAAAGTAAGGACCAATAACCAAGCGGTCCATGCCTTATTTGTACGAGACTACAAGTTATGAATTGTCAATTTAGGGTGAACTGTCAATTTAGTCATTGAATTATTATCTGAGTGAAAATTAGGTCCCTAAATTATTTTTTTCAGAAAAATCCATTCTTCAATTATAAAAATCTGCCAATACATCCCTAATATTATATTCAAAACTACTATATTCAATTTTCCATCACTTTAAATCACATTACTTATATACATTGGAGGGTAGATTGGTAATTTTTCATAAAGAAATAGTGTATTGAGTTAACTTTGAAGAGTAAATTAGACGTTAGATTCGTAACCTATATGAAATGTTAAGGGCTTATAGGTGAAAAAATGACGGTACACTCTAAAGTGTGACAAGTAACTTAAGTTGACGAAAAATTGGATAAAATAGCTTTGAATATAATAGTACGGATGAAATTAGCAATTTTTAATGAATTTAGGGACTTATTTTACCAAAAAAATAATTCAGTAACCTAATTTTCACTGAGGTAATAATTTAAAGACTAAATCGGACTTCACCCTAAAAATTAATGTATAAATACAAGAGAACATTCGAGATTACATTCAAGTGATCATTAATCCAAAAAAACTTTAACATAAAATAAAAGATCAACTTGGCTAAACTAATTGTCACCCCACTGTTGTATAGTTAACTAATTAATTTAACTAATGGCATTTCAATTTCACTTCACCTCAATAATATCATGTATATACTTAATCAAGAACGTGTTTCACGCATATACAGGCTGTTTAGAATCAAGCCACGTGGTGTCTTTGATTATATAATAGATGATAAATATGTCTCCAATACGTGGGTTAGTCTTTTAATAAGTATCATAATTAATCAATCTTAATGATGATTGTGGAAACCCTATAAAGCTAAGCAAATTTTGCTTAAGCTAATGAGAAGGAGGGTTTCCTTTCGTGGTCATGATTGTAATGACAATGTGGTCGCCGCTGATCTAATTATAATTTGAATTAAAGGTAGTGGGGGCATTGTGCCGTTGGTAGACCTGCCTTGTTTGGTTTGCAAACTCTTCTAGGTCATAAGCAAACGAAAAACAAAAAATTAATTACAAATTAATATAAATCAAATCAACTACAAACTCATGCTATATTTTTCACGATATTATATATAAATAAATACAGCACAACGCAATTTTGATATTAAATTTGATAAAATCTTGGATAGTGTTATCCAGACACATATTTTTATACTTCTTCTACACTCTTGTTAATTTTTTGTCATTGATCTTTTTGAATTCATTTGATCTGATCAATGGCAGAGCTATGGATTTTTCATTGGGTGGGCTAACTTAAAAATTTAAATCTTTATAGACAAAGAAACTTAATACTGTATTTTTCACAATATCAGTAAGCTTAAAAAAATTCACATTGTGAGCCACGAATTTTCGTTATTAAACAAATACGTGTTAAAATTCAAACAAATCCAAACTTGTACAAATACAAGAAGTGATGAGAAAATGGATATAAGAAAAAGAGATGGTTTGTAAACTGCATTATATAATTTTATATAATTAAAATTATAGAATTTGGATGAGTGACTAAATATATGATGAGTTACATTCAAAAATCAATAAAAATTTTATGTAAAATTTTATTTTCCACTGAAAGCTATCTGGGCGGGTAACACTTAACGTGGCTCCGCTAGAGTTAGAAATTAAAAAAAAATTATATATGTATAAAGTAAAAATAGATATGTAAATAACACTATCTAATGTTGACAATTTGTGGATGCAGCAGATGCGATTGTGAGGCTCAGAGGCCTACTTTTAATGGACAAGGATTGTCTGCCCTCCACTTCTTGTGCCCTTCCCGTGCCTTCCTGTTTGTGTGGTCACGATTAAGCCATGTCAATATTTTATATTACTATTCATTTTTGTCTTATTATCTTTATAAAAAAAATATAAAATGTTAAAGTGACTTAACCATGATCACACAAAACAGAAGAACACGAGAATAATATCGGAAGTGAAGGGCAAACAATCCTTGTCCACTTTTAACATTTTGGCATTATGATTATGTTTTCTAGCATATATGTCAGTTCACCAACTAACAACCAGCAAGGATGTAAATACAATTCAAGGGGGTGGCTGATTGGACGGCATCGATATGACACTAAGCCACTTGTCTTGAATATATATGTTCATTTCTTGATTAGATGAATCCTTGTTTCGAATCTAGCTGACAACCTATTCAAGACACACTTAATTGTTATTGACAAACGAAAAGGAAACCTCTTATCAAACAGTATATGATATCAGATTTTTCATTTGCAATCGTGGGATCATGTGGACTGTTATATATATAACAAGAAGAATGATTTACACTAAAGGAGTTCATCTTGACTTTCACGTCGTAGCCTAATAATATAATATTATAAATACGTTTATTTTTATTTTTATATGATATTGCATTATTTGAATGTTATTCTACAGTGAACATATTTTATGCAAATTGTTCTCGACAATATGACATGTCAGACATATGTTAAAGAAAAAATTATTGTTAAAAGAGTCTACTCATATCAAATTTATAAACATAAAGACGTCATTTGGTTTCTAAGATTAAGTTGGAATAAATTACTAGCTACTAAAACTCAGTTTTCGTCCACTGTTCATCATGTGAGAGGGGTTACTGTTCACCAGCAATGAACTCCCCAAACTGCCCTCCCATTCCTTCCTTCCCGGTTCTTTTCTCCCTCTCTGCTGCAGGAAAATGACCTTCTTGCCCTCGAATCCAACGTTTGTTTTTTTTTCTTCCACCCAAATGCTCTCCACGTGTTGATCATCGCTTCGGCCTTTCTTTGTCATTCCCCATTTTTCCTCCTCCGCACAGTGGAATGACATCCATCATGTCCACGCGTCGATCATCGTCGAAGGGCTCTGCTTCGACTCCTTCTTGACTTTTCCTCTGACTCTCCTTCAATTTGCGGTCTTCTCTCATCTCTCACTCTTTCTCATGCTTTCCTTCTGTACTGAAGAAGCCTTCCATCTATTTCGATCTCTCCCACAAACCCTTATGTTGCCAAAGCTTGCCTTCCCTCGCTCTCCGATCTCGACTTCCCTCTCTCACTTTCCTAATGAAAAAGACCAACCCAGTAGAAATTTCTCCAGTTCTTTCTTCAAAAACTACAAATCACAACAACCAAACTCCAAAAAAAAAAAAAAAAAAAAAATCTAATTCGAAAAGCCATTTGCTTTTCCTTGGATTTGGGTTTTCCTTCGATTCCTACACTATCCAAACCTTTGCCTTGGGGCGTGGATCAAGTTAGGGTTTTCTCTGATGCTTTGCATGTGCTACATGTGTGAAAATGCCTTGCCTCTTCAGATCAGTCTACATCCCTGCTTCTATCACTCTCGAACCTAAATTTCTTTCCCTCTCAAACGCCACCCTTCTCCCTCTCCAACCTTGCGATCTTTGTCTCACAAATTACCAACCGCACTTTCTTGCTGAAAAACCACCCAATCTGTAGTAGCTTCTTTGGTTCTTTAGTTGGATGCGGGGAAATTTTGTACCCAAGCGTTTCCTAGTGAGTTTTACGGCTTTCTCAATATAGGTGTTTTAATTTCTTTTTTGTGATTTTGGATTTGTAGATGGGTTTTCTATTCAAATTTCTTTTTTGCGATTTTGGGGGTTTTGTTTGTACCCTTGGATCATGCATGTGGGTGTTTAATTTGACTGCATATGGATGTTTAATTCGATTTTGTTTTCAATTTCAGGGGACCCTGGATTTTCTTTTTCTTTTTTGGGCTTTTGTAATTCAAGGTGAGCAATTTCAGCTTCTCTCTTTGGGGCTATTGTGGAACCAAATTTTAATTTTTATGATTGTGAAAGTTGAGTACGACACTTTGTTTAGTTTCCATTTAGTACATTAATGCATAACTTTGTTTTTCTCTCCTCCTTAAATTCATATATGGAAATAGGAAGTTTAAGGATCTTTGTTCTTGCTAATAGGTTTAATAATAATGACGTTTGGATGATCTTTGTTTCCAGGAAACTGATTTTAAAGAATGGTAGCTGGTGATTCAGGAAATAGTTAGATTTTTTAAAGCTGACACATGTTTTATGAATATCAGGCTTTAAGATACAATACTGTTCTAGGCTGTCATCCAGATTCCCAACTACACGTTTCCATGACAGTTTCAAATAGGTCCTTGAGATGATCAGATGCTATACTGAGCAGCCACCATCATAATAATTTATAAGGTTAGGTATTGAGGTTTTTCCTTAACTTATTTTTCTCTTGAAATATGAAACATGTTGATGCACAAAACCGGATGGGTCTTAGAACAACGTAAATCCGACCGTGAATCTGCAAGAAAATAAATAACACAAGATGTATCGTGGTTCACCTCAAGGTTTAGGCTACGTCCACACTGATATTGTATTTCTCTGAGATGTTGAAGAGGGAGAGAGAGAGAGAGAGAGCTTCTCTATGATGTGAGAGCTCTGAGAGGGTGAGGGTATGGTCTAAGAATTGGCCTCTGAGGGTGAGAGTGAGGCTCTCCCAATGAAGAAAGTAAGGAGTCCTTTTATAGAATAAGGGCTCCTCACTTATTACATATTTGCCCCTTCCTTTATCACATAATTACATTTGAGGCCCCCGAGTATTTATACGAGATCTAAATACGGAGTCCCTAAGTATGGTATAAACAGTAGTCCCCCAAGTCTTCTGTCAAGAGAGTCTTTTAGCTGGAGACTTAAAATTCAGTCCATGTATGGGCCGAAGTAACTAGAAATCGTCTAGAATTGATACTCGATATGGGGCGGTGCCCAATCTGAAATGATGCTCAACTCGAAGTAGCACATGTTGCGAGGCTGCTCTGCTTGTGGCTTATGTTTCCTTGGTTGGCTCGGCTTGTGGCGTTGAAGGTGAGGGAGTCCATTTTCTAGAATAAGGACTCGCTCTTCAATACATAAATGGTGGGCTATAATTGATGCTCGTGGTGAGGAGGTTGCCCAGCTGGCGGCAATGCTCTCTAATGAATGTGAAGGAGTCCTTTTTATAAAATAAGGGCTCGTTCCTCAGTACATGAATAATGGATTATGAGTGATGCTCATGGCAATGCGGTTGCTCAGTTGGCGACGATGCTCTCTAATAAAGGTGAGGGAGTCCCTTTTATAAAATAAGGGCTCGCTCCTCAGTACATGAATAATGGGTGCTCTCTAATGAAAATGAAGGAGTCCCTTTTATAGAATAAAGGCTCGCTCCTCAATACATAAATAATGGGCTAAGTGCCCCAAGTATTTTTCATGAGGCCCAGTTAAGGCCCAATATATGGTACATAGTGTAGTCCTCCAAGTCTTCGGTCAATAGAGTCTGTTGACTGGAGACTTCAAATTGAATCCATGTATGGGCCGAAGTGGCGGTTGTTTGGATGCGGTATTTGTATACCCTGCACTGAAGCTTTGTAGGTGAAGCTTTGCAAGTGATGCTTTGAAGCTGGAGCTTTTGTAAATGAAGTTTTTGAAGCTAGAGCTCTTTAAATGAAGCTTTTGAAACTAGAGCTTTTGTAAATGAAGCTTTTAAAGCTAGAGCTCTGTAAATGAAGCTTTTGAAGCTAGAGCTTTTGTAAATGAAGCTTTCAAAGCTAGAGCTCTGTAAATGAAGCTTTTGAAGCTAGAGCTTTTGTAAATGAAGCTTTTGAAACTAGAGCTCTGTAAATGAAGCTTTTGAAGCTAGAACTTTTGTAAATGAAGCTTTCGAAGCTAGAGCTCTATAAATGAAGCTTTTGAAGCTAGAGCTCTGTAAATGAAGCTTTTGAAGTTGATTGACATGAGTGATGCTCATGTATGTTTATGAATGATTGACATGAGTAATGCTCATGAATGTTTATGTATGATTGATATGAGTAATGCTCATGAATGTTTATGTATGATTGACATGAGTAATGCTCATGTATAATTTGAAGTATTGGGCGTACTTTTGATCACCTAGTTGGTGATAATAGCGGCAGGCTGCCGAATAATTTGGAGTACTGGGCATACTTTTAATCACCTGGTTGGCGATAACAACGGCGGGGTGCGGAATAATTTTTTGTAGTACTGGGCATACTTTTGGTCACCTGGTTGGTGATAATAGCGGCAGGGTGCCGAATAATTTGTTGTAGTACTAGATGTACTTTTGGTCACCTGGTTGGTGCTATTTTGGGCTTATGGGCCTTTGCCCTCCACACAACATTCCAGCCCATTTTTGGGCTTTGCCGTTTTTTATTTTTATTTTTTATTACCCTCTGATGGGGTTTATATAGATGTCTCTAAAAGATAAGAAAAATAAATCACATCATTCAAAAACAAGAAAAGTAAATCACATCATTCTGGTGGGGTGTTTATTCCTTATTTTTGCTTTTCTCTTTTCCACCGCACCTTTCTTTTGCTTTTGTGTTTTCTCTGCAAATTTGAAGCTTGCCTCGCTTGAACCGACGAATAGGACTCATTGGTGACAGCTTGCACCTCCCTTTTTTGCTTTTGTTGTTCTCTTTTCCACCGCACCTCTCTTTTTTACTGCATTTATTATTTGTTGCTGAGGTCTAGGTGCTTTAGCCTTTGCAGATGGCAGACAAAAGTAAAGTAAAGTTCTCTTTACTTTGCTTTACTTTGCAAATTGCAGATGGCGGGGGCATGGACTTGTCTTTCTTCTCTTTTCCTCTTTACACACAGTCACAGTCAGCACCCCATTCTCCATCGCTGCCTTCACCTAATCAATCTTCACGTTCTCCGACAACCTGAACCTCCTTATGAACTTGCTGCTGCTCTTCTCCACCCTGTGCCACTTGTCGTTCTTATCCTCCTTCTGCTTGACGGAGTCGTGCAGGGCGTGGTTGTCGACGAAATCAATGTCGTCGTTGGTGTTGATGGAGAGGTCAACGGAGAACCTTCCCATCCCAAGGATAAAAACCAGCTAACAGAAACTCTCGACCAATACCCTTTTCGCGTGGCGTTGCTCGTCAACCTCATTATTTACATCGCAAGAATTAATGTCAAGTGTAACAAAACCACTGGGATTTGAATCATAAAGACCAGTGGTGCTCTCTCATCTGAACCACTTTCAGAAAGCTCAGACTCCGATGGCATGGCTAGGTAGAGTGAGGCAAAAGAAACCCGTTTTTATTTCCAGCATAGAGGTGGCCTATGATGCCAGTGCCGCCGATTGAGGTTTTCACGACGGGGATGACATCAGCCAACTCTGCCTCAAATGTGTTGTAGAAGTTCTCAAAGCCTCCGATGGAGACCAAACAATACGCATTCGTCAGCTTCGAAAACACCCCAACCTCGCACGAGTTCTCGAATTACACTCTGGTTGCCATGGATTGAGGGTGAAGCCTGACTGCAAGGTACAAGTGTGGGAAAAACTAGGGTTTTTGAAGGTTGAGCAAGAGAGATGGCCCACATTTCCCTTTGGAACAACCATCCTTGCGCCTTATGAGTTCCAAGAAAATTTGCAGGAGGGTCATACCACGGTCTAGGGAGGTGCAGTGGTCACGATACGCAGTGACGATGCAGTCCTTTTTGGTAATTGCGGCCTTCATGCCGATGGAGTCCTGTCGTACAGATGGCAAAACCCATGGATCAGCTCGGCCTTGTAGAGCGAATCGGTGGCGATTTCCATCCGGCGCATCAACGCCATGTCACAGAAGAAACGTCATAAGCTCATTGGGAGTGGTCTCGAGCGTGCGCGACAACAGCTCGCAGTTGTAAGTAGTGAAGGGAATATACGTCTCGATCGTGAGGGTAATGGAGTCATCAGCGGCGGTCGAGAAAACTGAGTGTTTTTTCGTGACAAAAAGTTTTTTTTTTTGGTGCACCTTCGCTTCTGTGTGTGTACAAGAAACTAGAGAGAACACAGAAGCCTAGAGGGGAGAGAGATAGAGGTGGTAAGGTTTTGGGTTTTGCAGTGACTGTGCAGGTGTTTGGTTCTTGGGTTTCTGCAGATTCACGGTGGACAATGGTGAGATGGAAAAATGAAAAAGAACCGACATAGCTTTTTGTGTCGATTCCTACAGACGGCGATAAATGTTGATGCACAAAACCGGATGGGTCTTGGAACAACGTAAATCCGATCGTGAATCTACAAGAAAGTAAATAACATAAGATGTATCGTGGTTCATCCCAAGGTTTGGGCTACGTCCACACTGATATTGTATTTCTCTGAGATGTTGAAGAGGGAGAGAGAGAGAGAGATTCTCAGTGATGTGAGAGCTCTGAGAGGGTGAGGGTATGGTCTAAGAATTGGCCTCTGAGGGTGAGAGTGAGGCTCTCCCAATGAAGAGAGTAAGGAGTCTTTTTATAGAATAAAGGCTCCTCGCTTATTACATATTTGCCCCTTCCTTTATCACATAATTACATTTGAGTCCCCCGAGTATTTATACGAGATCTAAATATGGAGGCCCTAAGTATGGTACAAACAAAACCATATGATTTTCCTGCATGTTGGTGCATGTAAATAACACAATGTTTCATAATCTCTTATTTAGAGTTTTATAAATATGATCAAAATGGATATAATTTTGACAATAACCTAACATGGCTATTTTTGAAGGTAAAAGCGAGCGTTGTTCTCTTGGTCACTAGATGCCTCGAGAATTTATAGTCACTCACCCAACTTGGGGTTTGAGTAATCATGAATAAGTTGATTTCGTGTTACCATATGTTGTGCTAGTGAGAAGACTTTGAGATGGGATGGAGGACTAGAGATAGACGTTTGGATTTGAGAAAGACAATTGGTATTGAAAATTGAGATACCATATAGTGTATACCATGGCATGGTCGGTTCCAGCTTTTTCTCTTCCTTGGTATGCGTTATTTCTCCCTCTCTCTTAATTTTTTTTTCGTTTAATTTATTTCTGCAATTTGTGTGTGAAATTCTTGAAGTTTGTTGTGTTTCTGTGTTATGTTTCCTTATTATGCTGTGACGTAAGGCTTCTGAGATATGATTCAAATTCGCAAGATTGTATACAATAAGCAAATCACAATGTCAGTTTACTTGTTTCTTTGTTCATCTCTATTTATGCTATCTTGTCGAGAATAGAGCAGGTAATTGGTTTCTCAATTGTGTTCACATAGTAATGCTATTCTGTAGTAATGTGTATATCTATTACTGCAACATTTGGTGTGCGTATTTAACACGATTAGCAATCACCAATCACACGAGATGTTATTCATGAGATATAGCATTTCTTTTGGCAGCTGGATTCATCTATCCTTTGGTGGGCCAACTAATGCTTATCTGTCAATCTAAATTTATTCAAGATTTTTCGTTTCTTCTTAACGGTCGATACCCTGGGAACAGTTTGTTACTGCTCATGACTATTTTTGAGATCATTTGAGACACTCTCTTAAACAGTTTGTATCATTTAAGAATCTCGAGTGAGAAGTGAGTATCGAAATTTCTATGGGGCAGTGCTATATCCTGTGCCAAATCTTGTTGTCTGTTTGGCGATATTCTCGAGTGCTCCTCATAATGCACTTACACAACGATCAAGTGCGAACTTATGTGACCGGTTGAATATTCATTGTTGTGGTGTACGAGGAGTATTCAAATAAATTGGCTCCAAACTAGTGTTATTTTGTAGAATGGTATATCCTATGTTGATGTGCACTGTGATAGAAACTGTTATATGTCATCTAGTTATTCGATGGTTTGCAACATATAAAAGAGAAAGGGTCTCATAAATGATGGGCTCCAATTATATTAGTATCTTGAACTTTATTAAGTGTTAAATAGTGGATTACGAAAATTGTAAAGGGTTGATTTGAAGCGCTTTTTGATGGCGCAAGTTTATGTCTTATTGTAGCGGAATAAGGGTTGTTTAAAAAAATACGACCTAAGACACTACTATAAGTTGATTTTGGTCAATAAACCCGCTACAGAATTAATCACTCAAACCGTTAGAACCCAAAAATGTCAATATTAATATATCACAGTAAGCCAGGAATTTACACGCTATATTATTTTCGTTATTTGCTCGATATTAATTAACACTACCCGAAAAAAGAACCCTGCATGTGTATTGCAATAATCGCGGTATTACGCGTTTCACCAACACCTTTTTCTCGGTTCCCTGAGTATTAGCATATGTCATTTTCCTTCACCTTTCTTTAATTTGGTTCTAGTAGTTCTGGTTTGGCTTATATGAATGTTAATTTCTTAACTATAGGGGAGATTTGGGAGTCGTATATTTGGAAAGTAACTATTTTAGAATAACTATTCATTGAGAATAACAAGCACACTCATTAGTTGTAAAAGCTATGTATTACACGAGTGCTTGGAAGACAAGTTACTATTAATAAGTTCTGTTAGACAATTTTATAACGTATATGTTCCATAATGATACCATATATTCAGAGCATAGATAAAAACAGATTTCACCACTGAACGGGTCTGACATATTCCACACAGACATGGACCACTTTACCATTATAAAATATAAATACTACAATCACTAGACAGCAGATATTCTCTAACGAACTCCGAGATGAGTCTATCTTTTGACGTGCGTTATAACAATCAAACATTAATTTATATGTTCTCAAGTAATTAAACCTCACACTATTCTCCATGCGCCACAGTAACTTCAGACACATACGCCTTTTACAAGGTACTTATTTCCACTCACGACCTAATCACTTAATTTGTATTATATTACACCAAATTAACACCATGTAGGAAAAATACCACACATGAATAACGTAACCTGAGCTTTGTCTTCTCGACATCTCCTCCTCTCTATTTTGAGAACATTAGGGCAATTTAGGCACACAAGTAAACTGGCCGGACTCAAGCAGCAATTCCCGTGTCCTCTAGTAAGGTATGTTTCTCATATTTTAGTATAACTTATACCAGCACAAGTAATTAACCCGCTAGTTGATTGGGTGGTAATTTTCTAAGGTGAAAGACTCAGTAAATTCCCAGGTACCAGGAGTTAATTAATAATGACATTAGTAAGTTGCTGGGATTTAACGTACCCAGGTCATTACATTATCGATATCAAGAGTCAATTCACTATATGCATGCAAACCAATATCAGGAAGGTCAGTTGAAAATGAGAGCGATGTGAGAGCGTAAGATCTCTGGCAGGCTGCGCACTTCTATTAACGCACATCACTCCTTTCACATAGTGAAATAATCCTTTAAACTATAACCATAACCCTTTAGGTAATATTGCACGTTTCTCAAAATATAAACACAGAATAGACTGCCAAGGCAAGGCGTGTGACACTCGAGTGAGAGCACTCATCACCGTGTGACTTAACGTAAAGCCAGATAGTCCTGAGGTCTCCCTTTTGGGTTACTCTACAAGGGATCTATGTTTCATCGGGTGCGTAAAATGAAAAATGAAAATCCATGCTTCTCTCACCATATTAAATGTTATTCTCTAACACATTCTGTTTAATTGCGCGGTTCATTGGACACCTTGCATTCTTCTTCTTATGGTTTGTTTTTCCAGTTATCCGGTACTCACGCGGCAGAAAAGCGGCATCCATCTATTCTCTCTCTCTGCTTTTTCATAGATGATTTCTCTTGATTCTTTCTATTATAAAACCTCTTTTAAGGGTTTTCTGGAACTCTTCCTTAATTCTTCCGGTTACGCGTCAATGACCATCCAATCAATAAAAATCACGACAGGAACATTTGAGTGTCGTTTATTACCTTCGAAAGGGGCCTAAGTAAGAACTCCTTTATGTAAAATCTCGGTGAGCGGTATAAATCCTTGGACAATTTTATTTCACACGAGATACTTTACAACATTTGGTAATGTATGAATTGGGAGCCTTATCGTTACTACCCCCCAAACTTTAAAGTAAATCAATTATTTCCCCTTTCTACTTTGAAAAAATAGAATTCTCTTTAGACATTTAAATTTGTTTCATTCATGATGAGGTTGTGTATAAATTGCATTGGTTGCATTGGCGTTCGTAACTCAATTTTTTACTCGAACATTGTTTTTTAATATTGTAGTTGCATAATCTTTCATATAATTTTCAACCTCGCAGCAACGTGCAGGTACAAATTCTAGTTTGCTACTATATTCAAGTTCTAAAGGTAGAATGAATGATTTCTTTTATTTAGAAGGGATCATAACATAAGAAGATTAAGCATGAAAAAAACTTATTTCTTGTAATACTACTTTTTATTAAAAAGGTAAAATAAAATACACATTCATCGTCTCTTAATGAGAAAGGTTGCAAAGTCACTATATGAAGGTTCCATTTCCTACCACGTCAAGAATGGATTAAAGCAATTTATTTGTAGATTTTGCGCATACCTCATCCTTATTAAACACAATATACTCGCGAGGAGAAAAACGAAACAGCTTTTGTGGAGGATAAGCAAGTGACTTTAACTGGAATCAATAGATCTATTTGCTCACCAACTTCTTAAATCAACACAGAAAAGAAGAGTGGATCGGCCACGGTAAGTTGGTGGAGCCAGGATCTCTCGTCCTTTCCTATTGTTGCGCGATTGGCCAGAGCTGCCATGACAAAGCACCGAAAGTATCTTTTTTAGCTCACTAGAGGTTAAATTTGGAGACGGATAACGTACTAGGAGAAGAAACGAGACCAAGAAGCATGCACATATACCTCGAAATTCTCATACCACTTCACGAAAACACACCAATCTTCTGGAGATATTAGACGTAGCAAAGATCCTTGGTCCACGGGTCTGGGCTCGATAGAAGAATATTACATAAAATACTATAGAAAATAAAGTTAAAAATGATGTCATATAATTATATGAAAGCATCTATGGAAATACAAACACGAGTCGTAGCATTTCGAAGAGCAAGGGATTTGTGTGATGCGTTATATCGCCTGTGACATATTGCATGGAAGATGGGTTGAGAGAAATGAAGATTTTCTCCTCACGTTCGGCCCATACTTCTATGCTTGCCCCCGGGGTCTTGTACCTTTGGGAGTCTGCAAAAACGATTATAAAAGACGTTTAAATAATTTTATTAAAATTTCTCTATTCAGATTGTTTATTCTTGTTTTGTTCAATTTGTTATTTAGTGCCGACAGATGGATTAATACGAGAGAGTAATAAATTAAATAATACGTAGGCTTTAGAGCCGGAAGCACCACCAAACCAAGATCAGGGCAGGAATCAATGTCAAAAGGGTCAATCGTGATCTTTTGCGAGAGCTAACAATTTCCCTTCCTTAACCTTACCTAACGTCAATTATTCGCAAATGATACGTCTATTTCTGGGTTCATCTTTGACTTGGATGCTTTTTTTTCTACTTTTCTTCAGCAACCCAGAACCAAAGATAACTAGGCTCAATTGGTAATATGTTTTCCCCAATTCGTATACAGGAGACTCTGGGGTTTAAAATACAAACTCTCCGTGTAACTTCAATTCGCTCATTTTCTTAATTTCATTTCACGGGGTTTGGAATGTTAATTCTAGTTTTATCGAACTCTTAACTTAATCTAATTCTAATTATTTTTATAATTTCTCTCACGGTATGATGTTAACTCTAATTTTATCGAATTGATTGTCTTATCAAAGTTCTATGCAATAATAAGAAAATTGTTATAGTGACACTATAAGTCTATAAATCTAAAACAATGTCAAACACCAATTTTTCGAGACCTTTAGCATACATTGGGATATGTCCATGATGTTCGTCAACGCAACAATAACTTTCTCTTTTATCTTCCTTATTAAAGTGTATTGCCACTATGTTTTAATTTTTCTTTTGGCTTCTGAAACCAAGCAGACACTATGATAAGAGTTTGTCTAATTATTGACATCTCATAGCAGTAAGCGTCACTTTGTATAGAGAAGTTCCAAATTATCTTTGAATTTAACGATAAATTCGAGCCCGGTGCTATATTATAATTCGTACATT